GTCCCCGCCCGCCCAATCCCATCACTCGCCCGGCGTTGCTACGCCCGGTGTCCTGGTCCGTCCGGTGTCGCTACGCCCAGTGCCGTCACCCGCCCAGTGTTGCTACGCCTGGAGTCCCCACTCGCCCGGTGTTGCTATGCCCGGCATCGTCACCCGCCCGGTGCTGCTGCGCCTGGAGTCCCCGCCCGCCCAGTCTCATCACTCGCCCGGTGTTACTACGCCCGGCATCCCCGCCCACCCAGTGTTGCTACGCCCGGCATCGTCACCCGCCCGGTGTTATTACGCCTGGAGTCGCCACCCATCTAGTGTTGCTACGCCCGGCGCCATGGCCCACCCGGTGTTGCTTCGCCCGGCACCCTGACCCACCCAGTGTTGCTGCGCCTGGAGTCCCCGCCCGCCCGGTCTCATCACTCGCCCGGCGTCGCTACGCCCGGCGCCCTGGCCCGCCTTGGGTTGCTACGCCCGGCGCCCTGGCCCGCCTTGGGTTGCTACGCCCGGCCTTATCACCCGCCCAGTGTTGCTTCGCCCAGTCTCATCACTCGCCCGGTGTTGCCATGCCCAGTGTCTTGACCCACCCGGCGTCGTTACGCCCGGCGTCCCCACACGCCCGGTGTTGCTACGCCCAGTGTCCCCACCCACCCGGTGTTGCTACGCCCGAAGTCCCCGCTCGCCCGGTGTTGCTACGCCTGGAGTCCCCATACGCCCAGTCTCATCACTCGACTGGCATCGCGAGCCAGCCAATCTCGCTGGCCCGGCCATCGTCGTCGCCCATCTAGTGTCGTCACGCCCGGCGTCGTGGCCTGTCTGGCTCCGCTGTCCGACTGGCGTCTCGCCACGCGCTCATCGCCGGTGTCCGCCCTGTCCGGTCGCTCGACTGGCGCCGTTGCCCGCCCGGCATCGTCGCCCATAGTCGGTCTCGTTGCACCCAGCGTCCCCGCCCGCCCGGTCCCATCACTCGACTGGCATCGCGAGCCAGCCAGTATTGCCACGCCTGGCGTCCCCACCCATCTAGTGTCGTTGCGCCAGGCGCCGTTGCCCGCCCGGCGTCGGCACGCACCCAGTCTGATTGCTTGGCCAGTGGCATCATCCGCC